TTAGGGTTCAGGGTTTAGGGACGAAAGAGTGTGAGTCGAGGATTTAGAACGTGCCTGGTAAGGTCAAGCTAAGTTACAGCCATCTTTCACAGCCAACTTTGTTAGCCCTTTTCGCCGCGGTTACTTTAATTGCAGTTCAGTCGGCGAGCATAGTCACACCTTACCGGGGCTCGACAGTCTAGACTTCAGGGCCTACATGGAGTAGCCGTAGCTATTATTAGCCTACAATCTGACTGCCTCCAGTCCGACTCCAAATCGATGGACGGATCTACACTCTGAAGCGAACGCTCGAATCCCGGAAGCCAGTGATTCATCCTCAACGCCACATCTGAGACTCCCCAGTCCAACAGCCGACAACACGAAAAGTCCTATAAACCCTAAACCCTCGGTCCAAAAGCCCCAAACTCCCAAAGACCCTATACGTCCAATTTTGGGAGAGGGTTTTTGGTTTAGGGTCCAATCTTGGGAGACTGAGCAGGAAACTCCAAGACTGACTCTGCCAAGGTCGAAATGAAGAGGAAGCGGTGTTTCACCTAAGTCGAAGGCTTCGGGATGTGACAATTGGACCCTTAGTTTCGGGTTTAGGGTTTACTTAGATGGGATTTCTGAAAATAGGGAACCCTAATATTCGGAAACCCCCAGATACCATTAGGGAGGAGGATTCTGGCTGCGGCTTCGCGACAAAGGCTTTAGGCACGAAGCTGTACGCTTCCAGGGCACACGGATTCGAAGACGATTGTTCAGGACGGGTCTCGGAACGACGTACTCTCCCTAGCTACCTTGATTGCGTTCGTCTCAGGGTTTAGGGTTTAGGGTTTAAGGAGTTAACTCAGTTCCCACAAGCCGGGCCGATAGAACCTAATGTGCCTATTTTCGGTATGAAAACTTAAAGGGATCTTCTGTGACAATAGCACAGGGTAGGCACAATAATATTGTAATAAGGGCCCTAGTCAGGGGACAGTGGGGAGTGCTAGTCGGGGAGAGATGATCCTGCCTTGTGTAGAGAATCGGTTGAAGGTCTAGGGTTTACCTAAAAGGTCATACCCTACCCCTTTTTAAG